AGTTATTCCTCTAATGAATCTGAGCAAAGTAAACTGAAAACCTTCTGGAAAGGATTCACAATTCTAGATGCCATTAAGAACATTAGCGATTCATGGGAAGAAGTCAAAATATCAACATTAACAGAATTTTGGAAGTTGATTCCAACCTTTATGGGTGATTATAAGGGGTTCAAGATTTCAATGGAGAAAGTAACTGCAGATGTGGTAGAAATAGCAAGAGAACTAGAACTGGAAGTGGAGCCTGAAGGGGTACCTGCATTGCTGCAAATCTAATGATAAAAATGTAACAGATGAGGAGTTCCTTGTTTTGGATGAGCAAGGAAAGTAGTTTCTTGATATGGAATCTACTCCTGGTGAAGATGCTGTGAAGACTGTTGCCATGACAACAAACGATTTAGAACATTACATAAACTTTGTTGAGAAAGTAGTGGCACAGTTTCAGAGTATTGACTCCAATTCTGGGTAAATGCTATCAAACAGCATCACATGCTACAGAGAAATTGTTTGTGAAAGGAACAGTCAATCAATGTGGCAAACTCCACTGTTGTCTTACTTTAAGAAATTGTCACAGCCACCTTAACATTCAGCATCCACCACCCTGACCAGTCAACTGCCATCAACGTCCAGGCAATACCCTCCATAAGCAAAAAGATTATCCCACACTGAAGACTCGAAAGATGGTTAGAGGTTTTATTTAGCAATAAAGTATTTTTAATTAAGGTTATGTACATTTTTTAGACAATGCTATTGCACACTCAATAGATTAGAGTACAGTATAAATGTAACTTTTATAAGCACTGGGAAACCAAAAAATTCATGTGACTTACTTTATTGCAATAGTCACTTTATTGTGGTGGTCTGTAACCAAACCAGCAATATCTCCAAAGTATGCCTGTATTGGATTGTGTTTCTTATAAATCATCTCAACTACTTTCTGAAATGAAGGAAGGCATACGTAAATCAATCTCTCAATCTCAATCTCTCTCAATCTCTCTCTCTCTCTCTCTCTCGCTCTCGCTCTCGCTCTCGCTCTCGCTCTCTCCCCGTCCCTGCCCTTCCCTCCTCTCTCCCTCCATCGCACGTGCACACACAACACACACACACACACACACACACACACACATCAAGACATACTTCAAATATACAGATACAGGTTGAAATCTTGCAGCAAAATCAGTTACATAGAATGTCTCCAGGGCAATTCAGAAAACATCTCTATTATCTACAAAAGCCAGGTTAAGCTTAGCTCTAAATCTCTCTCCATCCAACTTCTTTCCCATCTAAAAACAAACCAAAACTAAAACTATCAGCGCAACAGTAAATAATCTTTGGAAATAATATAAATGTGTAAATAATGTATAGCAAATTCTGACAAAATACTAAGAGACTTACCTCAAGATTCCATGTGCTCACCAGATATTCAGAACTGCTGCTAAAGACAAATGATAACATCTACCAGGAGACAAATTACAGGGAAAAAAAAAAAATCTTGTATTTTGTTTTCAAAATTATAAATGAGGGAGACTATGAGAAGGGTTGCATTAAAACAACAATATGGCCCAAGAAAGCAACAGCACCAAGTCAGGCCTTATTATAGAATGAGGTAATGATTAGCTCTCTTGATGAAATAAGGTAGAGAAATATAGAGGCCCTGCCCTTAAGGGACTGACCTGAATATTTCCAGAACAAATTTGTTTAGAGGAAGATAATTTTGGAGGACCTGATAAGGGACCACCAGTGTGGGAGAAGGGCCAAAAGCACCGTTTTTATTTGAAATAAACCTGGCGAAAGCATAAAAACAATATAGATGTCCCTATTCTTTTCCACATTCCAGAAAAAAGCACCAGTCACTATTTCGGAACAGCCCTCTGCACTCAGGGGCTGCTGACTATTTAAGAGGAGTATTGATGAAGCAAGAACTACATGCCCAAGGATCATTTAAAAAGCATGAAAAACTTTGGCTAGCAATAAGAGCATTCGCTTTTGATAGTAAAGATTTCAAGCATGCCAAGCAGGACCAGAAATCTTTAGAGTGGTTTCCACTTATTCAAGACAATACAAGAGAGAGAAGTTCATTTTAGCTTTCTATCTCCCTATGTTGCAAAGATCTATTTATCTTTGTATTAGTCCAGTGCCTAGCATAGACACTTATATTGCCAGGCAGGCAATAAATATCTGTTAAATTGATTAAGTCCTACCACAACACTCCTAATCTATGTTATTTTTTATTCTTCCCTCTTACTCCCAACATCTAATTAGTTGCCAAATTCTGTTTTATCGCTGCAAGTTCTCTACCATCAGTCCTCTCCTTTCCATTCCCTCTGTCCTAGTTCAAAAATCTCACTACTACTTCCACTGACTAATACAATAGCCTCCTAACTGCTATTCCCCACCTTCAGTCTCTCTCTGACTCAAATACATTCTACACACTGACATCAGTTATTTTTCAAAGCGTAGATCTGGCCATGTCACTCATGTCCTCAAAACCCTTCAGTAGCTCCCATTTACAGAATAACGTTAAACCTTTAAACTGCCTTTAAAAGCCCCACACAATCTGGGCCTAGCCTACGTTTAATACATTGCCTACCTCATCTCACATGACATCCCCACTCTTGTATCACAGCCTCACATCCTAGCAATATGAGATTCCCCTTTCCACCAAGAATACCTCCATGCCTTTGCTTATATTATCCCTATCCTCCAGAAAGAAATATGCTCTTTTCATCTCTCTGTGAAATTATTATCCACTCTCTAATGCCCAGATCAAATTCTACCTCTTTAACAAAGCCTTACCAGACCAATCCCTATACCAACACAACTACCTCATTGTTGATGGTCTTTACAACCTGCATAATAACAGTTTCTGAACATGACTATCTTGCCTATCTGAATGTAAACCCACGGGGGTTGGGTGAGACTCCAGGTGGTACATTTTTAGGCATTTCACATTTCAATACTACGTACCGCACTACCTTGTACTCAATAAACACTTGATGATCTGAACCAATTCTTACCATGACAAAAGTTCATAATGGGGGGGTGGACGTAAACTTAAATGTCAGTGAAACACCTCATTAGCAAATTATAACAAATAAAATTATTTTTCTCCTCTTATCCCCCGAAATGTCCCTAAATATGACCTCATATTTATCTTTGAATCACCCTATCTGTGATTACAAATATGATTACCATACTTAGATGAAAAGATCAGACCTAGGAAGGAGGTCTTAAGAAAAACTGCTCATAATAGGGAAAACTAAAGCTATGACTGTGGCTATCAAAATCCCAAGATTTTAAGATAGGTGACAATAATTCAGAGTTTAGGGGCAGGGAAAGGGGCATGACGATCATTGTGGGTAAAGAGAAGAAACTAGTGTGCAATGTAGACCTATTATGTGCAAAGCACCTAAGTGTATTAAACTCAGTACTGCTTTTTTTACATAACAACTCTTCAAGGTAGTTTTCGCCCATTTATAGATGAAGAAAGTCAGGTTAGGTAACTTGCACTGCGTCACACAGCTAATATGGAATTGAGATTGGAACCCATATTAATCAGCTTCCAAAGCCCACGTTATTTCCTCTATTATCCAGGCTCTCATAAAATTAATTAAACTTCTTGCAATTATAAAACATTCCTACATTCTAAGAAGAAATGAACCCCTCTTCATTTATCCTGTTCTTAAAGTATGTAGAATATTAAAATTTATTTTGGAATTGCTTAACTATGTAGTAAAATATTTCTTATAAGTAGAAAGGGCTCAATTTTAGACTCCTGAATTTATTTCCACTACATTTCTTGTTAAATGTTACCCTAGCACGTAATTTTAACCCCAGTTCAGTTAAAAATTTGAAAGAAAAAAAGAATAAGTTAAACAGACAACAATCCAAGTGTATTTTTAAGGATGGAGCAAGCACTTAAAGACAAATTTGCACCTTGAGATGTTGAGGATTTCAAGTCCTACCTCAAAATATCCTACTGTGAATCAGTTTGGCTTTCAGGTATTTTTAGGAGATCTGTGGTGAAACACTAGGCCGTCAATCGATTATTAGAAAAGGATCCGATTTTCAATCCCAAAAGACTCATTGTTATGTTTAAATGCTGCCCGCTTTTAACGATAACATCAACAACAACAAAACAACAATAAAAACAAAGTACCTGTGCACATCTAAGTTCTCACTGCACAGCTGCCCAAAGCCCAATCAGAAGTTTCAGAAAAGCAAGAAAAGAGGCGAACCAAAATATTTTTGTTGAACCTCAGTATCTTACCAAAGATACATCTTATAAGGGCTAGGGTTTACTTTGTGTCTTCTTTTACAGACCAACAGGGCGAGGACAGCAGTTGCGGAAGGCAGACAAAAAGGATTAGAGAGAAGAGGGCAGTAGAATTCAGGAGACCTCACAGGATGTAGCAGAACATCACCTGAATGTAGATTAAGAAACCTGGTCTCCGGTTAATCTCCATTTGGGTTGTTACAAAGAACCACAAGAAGCCACAAAGAAACGAGAAAGCTAAGTAACTAAAGAGCACATTTTCCTAAGTGCAAATGCCCCCAGAGTTACTCAGTCGCCTAGGTATGTTTTTGTTGCGCTGGGTTCCTAAAGTACTCAAGATTCAATAGCGAGCTGGAGTTAGCAGCCGTCCCCAGGTTCCCAGGGAGCAAACCGGGAGCAGCAGGAAAAGAAGGACACGCAGAACCGGGCGCGGCACCTGGCGGGTCCTGCAGTCTCACTCCAGGTCGCAAAGTGAAGAAACTTAGTCACAACTCCGACGTAGCCCACGAGGCAGGCATTCACTCTCCACGCCCAAGTGCGCCCTCTCGTCGCCGCCCGCTCTGAGCTAAAGCGCAGTTGGAGCAGCGCTTGCTTCGCTGCCCCGCAGCCTCCAGGGGGCCTGCCTGGGCACCCTGTTCCCCAGGCCCACGCCCCTTCTCTCCCGAGCCCCGGCAAGGGTCCCGAGGAAAGGAGAGGGGTGGCTCCAGCCCCTCTTGCCATCACTAACCTCGCCGCTGCAAGCGACGCCGCCGAACACCTCCATTTCTTGGTCCCAGGACTCGTCCTGAGGAGCGATCGGTAGCATCGCCCCTTCAGCAGCACTCGAACAGGAGCTGCCAACCGCCAGCACTACCGCGCATCGCGTCTTTGGAGCCAGCCGCCGCCGCCTCCGCCGCGACCCCCAGCTCCGACTTCAACCACCACTGCTTTAGCCGCAGGGTCCCTCAGAGGCTGGGAGCCGGGGGTCGCCTCCGCCGCAGGCTGCTGCTCCCCATAAAGAACACAACTCCGTGCTGCTTCTCTGAGAGCTGCTACTCGGCTTCTCTCACCGCTGCCGCGACTATCGGTTTGCGGTGACCACCCCACCACCACCCTGCTTCCCTGGGCCCCCTCCGCGTTCTCAGCTCTGTCAATATGGCGGCAGCGGCGGCGTTACCTGTGAGGCGCCTGGAAACCTCCCCCCCGTCCTTCCCCCAGGGCGGCGGCACAGCGGCGTCACCCAAACGTCAATGGAGATTCCCTAGCCTGGGGTGAAAGGGGGGTGGGAAAGAGGGGCGGGGGTGGTTGCGGAGGACCGGGTGGTAGAGGGTGGGAAAGAGGGGAGGGGAGCGTGCTGAGCAGGAGAGACAGGAGAGAAATAGTATAAGCTACTGCCAGTGCCTGAGTAAACCTACCCACTCCACGGAGCATGCGCAGCGCTGTTCACACATGCTCAACAGGCCCTCTCAAGCCTACCGAAGCAGCCTTTAGGGCCAGATGATTCCCAAAAAAGATGCAGGGACTTGGGGACCTTCCAGAGCGTTGGAGGATTCAGTGTCATGGGAGGACTCCAGGAATAACTGCTTGCAGGGCTCACAAAAACAGGTGTCCTATACACTGAACCACACCCATTTTAATACTTAAAAGACAAATACTGGGGTGGGTATTTTAGTCCCCTATACATTAGCCTCCAAAAAGCCGGAGGCAGGAAGAAAATGCATTTAAAATAAATATGTATATCTGTGGTCCCCTGCCACTCGTCCCTCTCGGACTGTTTCCTCTGATTGCCTTTGTCAACCAGTGGTCATTGGTGGCAATTCAATTCAAAGCCAACAGGAAACCCCAGTTTGGAGTGCAGTGAAGGAGGAAATTGTATTCAGTGCAAATAGCTCCACTGTGATACAGCACAGCTCTGAGACCAGCATGGCTGTGGAACAGCTCAATGGTGTTCAGCTCAGCTATGAAATACCATAACAGATAGGTGGACCTAGGGCCAGATCCCTCTCCTACTAGGCAACTCTGCTCTGACCTGCTCTGTTTGCTTTTCTCTACTCTGGTTCTGTTTTATCCTTGGTGTTTCAGAGACATCTTTGGTGTTTCACAGATCTCTGGTGTTTCAGCCAGGGAAACCCAGTCTTCAGTCGTTGGTGGAAAGGGAAAGTGCACTCTCTGAGTCAGAAGAGAGTTGACTTATACAAACAGAAGTTCCTGGGCCCTGATTGGTCTGTCCTCATACAAATGAGAACTCCAAATCCTCACAGATTGGCCCAAAAAGCACTTTCCTGATTTGTCAAAATGGAACCTCTCTGATTGGCCGGCAATGATGCTGATGGGGCAGCTCCACTGGATAGGGAAAGCCTCAGTCCTATCGGTTCAAATACTATTACAGGCTCAGATGGCAAGAACATGGTGCAGGCAGGCACGCAGCTGGATGTGGGAGGCAGGCGGCTTAGTCCAGGTTTCTACCTTAAGTATGGTTTCTGTGAGAGGCCCCTGTTTAGAAAAGGCTGCTAGACTTTGTTTTTAAATTTGATCCCAGTTAGCCACCGGGAGCTCTTCTTGGTAGATACTTTCTTTCTCTGGGACTACACCTTTACACTATTGATGACACACAATGTTTCTAGTGTTCACACAATTTTTTTCCACTTACTGGACTCTACTTGTGATATTGAAGGCAGAACATACAAAAGCTAACCTAACAGCCACCCCACTCTGAGGATATTAGGCCTGTAATGAACAATTATCATTGTTCTTTCTTCTTCAAATCAAGCCTTCACTATATTGCTGTTGGAAACCGCACACTGTACTAGGTGCTAGTGATATAACTGAGATAAAGTACAATGTCACACATGGAAGATGATCAATCAAGTTCCTTCTCATCAAAATCCAAAGGAAAAAAAAAAGTTATTCCACTTTGACACTTCAAAGAGACTTAAAAGAGCAATTTTAACAACAACTAAGCTGGCTCAGTACCTTGGAGAAGTTTTTAATGGTAGAC